TTAAAGTATAACGTATGGAACGTGTCTAACAATATAAATGCAGGGAACATGCATTATTATGCAATTTATACAAAGCGCCGTCATGATTGAATGTCTCGAAGCAGACAGAATGATAAAAGATGTTTCTGAATGTACACCAAGCATCGCTGCTCGTTAATCTCTTTTATCGAGCGACATCCGTTGCTTTACATAAATGAATCGATAACTAAAATAGCAAATAGAAAAACATTTATGATATTTCCGGCGATTAAGCTCACGCTTTTATTATTTTCAAAATTATATTCAAAAGTTGCACATCTTTTTATTTAGAGATGTACTTTTTTTTCTTTTTTCTGATATTCGCTTTTTCTGCAACCAGTAGCCTTGAGCGGCCTTTGTGCATTAAGCTTTTTGAACCTAATAATCCATGCAGATTGCAGCTCAGCAACTTGGATATTTTTCTTTTCTTATTGCGATTTACTCCCCTGCCGTTTCTGTTTATTTAGTCTTTTTCTATTCCTATTTGTTTGCAATAATTTCTTATTTTTCGAATGTGCAATATAATAGCAAACGTAGACTGTTATTCACATATGATCTTTCAACAATACACATATACACGTCAAACTATTACGGATGATCGACGTTTATCAATAAAATTATCTTCGACTAAGGGGGTATGAAGGACATATTTTGTCCGTTAAATTAACATTTCCGCCGATATTCGTTTGCATTAATACTAAACTTGCATTGATAGTATTGGCATCTGGACTCTGTTTTTCTAAAAAAAATCAGAATAGTATTTTTTATATGATTTATATACATTTATACGTTGTAAGTTTATTATACGTTTTTGCAAGAATAAATAAAATATTTTATAGATTGTTTTGATAGTAGTAATACAATTTTTCGAAAGAGAGATATATTTATAAAGTGATTAATTGTCGATTAATGAAGGAATAAATTAGCAGTTTAATTATTTGTTTATTTATAATATTTAAATAGATAAGCATGAAGATATTTATTTATCTAAACATTATAAATAAATAAAAGCACTGCTAACATCATTGCTATGAATATTGATGTCACGTATAAAACAACTTTGTTTTTAACTCCAAAAAATAAAATGTGTTTAACTTGAAAATAAAAGAAACATGAATAATAAAAGTTCACAGTTTTCGCATTTGTATAATTTAAAAAATGTAAGTATACATTTTTATATAAATTGTATTAAATATAATTTTAAATTAATTAATGCACTTGATACAATAATCTTGAAATATTTTTTGATAAGACATTAAGAAAAAATTTACTGAATTGAATTTGTTATATCTCTTTTTTAATACAGATAAGTTTGTTCGATAAAAACTGCGTTATATTTTCAATTTAATTCTAAATATATATGTTATATATTACGCAATATCATTTTTAAAAAATGTAATATTTTATGTACTTTTATAGGTATATTAGATACAACTCTAGATGCTACTCTACAACAGAAAGATTAGATATCTTAAAAAATTTGTTTTTTAAATCTTTTTTTTTGTTTTATTTGTGATAAAAATATTATTTTTAGAGAAATTAATATTTTTAAGAAAATATATAATATGTATTTGCAAGCAAAATATTCCTTATTTGTGTCCTTGACGTTGAATCCTTTTCTAAATATAGATTGGAAATATAGACTAGATAGATAATCATCGTCGGGAATCGTCGTCGAATCCAGACACCGCTGAATTACACGTGTGTGCGGCTGATCGATACTGGCGTCGCTAGCTGGTAAACCGTATATTCCTGCTTTACGCATCAACCCCTCGAACGGATCGCGCCCTTCCCGATTCGCCCTTTAGTTGAAGCTACCCTTGGTTAATACATGGTAGACGTATAAAATACTTGCTCAGCTGCTTAAGCATTTTTGTTTAGCTCGTGATAATACATGAAAATACATTGCAGTAAAATATATGATTTTTTGTGTGGACGTTGTTTTACAATTAAAATTTGTCCTACGAAATAAATATATATACAATTCATATATAACTTAAATAATGTATATTAATTTTTTATATTTTTTTATTACAAACAATTACATTATCCTACAATTTTGTCTT